ATCATGTGAAAACTAGTTTTCACGTATAAATTGCGCGATAAATACAATTTATCATTCGTGCGTAGAAACGGGCGTATATGTTGCCGTAAGATTATGCTTACTCTCCTCTCACCGCCTTATTAATGAAGCTGTGCGTACCTGTGAAATCCAAGCGTGCCGCACAAGCCCTCAAAAGTGAAGCCAAAACGTCTCGATCGATGTAATTTCAAGTGTTCGTTTTTAAAATAAGTTTGTTTTTAGTTAGTTATGTGAAGAAAACGGTGCTCTGACATCATGATTGACAGCTGTGATTGACAGGTTTTCTGTGCGAGGTAGTCACTGAAGCACCAGCGGACTTTTTTAAAAAAATGTTGATTATGTGGTTAGTAGTTGTATTTACCTTATTTTAACGAAGTTCTGCAATCAGCAGACATCATTGGAGAAGAACGAAGCAGACAGAGGACACTTTGGCTGCATTTACACTGCAGGTCTTGATGCCCAAATCCGATTTTCTGACTATATCCGTTTTTTTGACGACCTGCTTACATCATCTTTTAAAAGTGACCCGTATCCGATATTTGCATTTACACTATACACTGCTGAAACTACCAAAATGCAGTTCTGGTTCTGAAACGGGAAATTAAGCAAAACAGCACGAAATTCAATTGATGCAGATGCAAATAAAATTATCCAGTGTTTTCTTTCCACAATATTTCAATAAGTCATCAAAACATTGGTCTCGTACGGCGGAGAAAAAAAGAGGAGCGGCTCTGGCCACGAGCACTTAAAACGATGCCTCATATCTCGTGAAATGTCTTCAAAAACGGATTTATTTCTGTAACAACCCTGCATTTTTGCCTGCACTCTTCACCCCAAACACTCAAAAGACATGAAACCTCCGCATTGCTCCACTGTGTGTATACTTTCTTCCATCGCGCGGCTCGCGCCTATATTCGCGCACTTTTTAATGAGCTTGACTCGCATTTACTGGGGAATATCCGATTTATCTGCTTACATGGCACACGCAAATGCACGTATCTGATTCATATCTAGGGTTGGGTATCGTTTGAATTTGAACAATTCTGATTCGGATTCCGATTCCTTGTTTCGATTCCGTTTCCTAACGATTCTCGATTGCGATTCTTTTAAGAGGCAGGGTCAAAAAAGTTTAGCTAACCTTGCTAACCAACAGTCTTTCTGAAGGAAATAATCCTTTCTGAAGGAAATACTCCTTCTGTCACAAATACTTGTCACAAATTTAGCATTTTGCAGAGATTTCGTTAATTTTTAGAAAAGTGAAGCCACACTTTGGACCGCCGACGTAAGCTACTCATGTTCGACTCGCGCGGTTATGCAAACACTTCCGGTAGACGCTTCTTCGTTGGTGTTGTTCAGCGGTTTCTTCTTCCGCTCGGCGGACTGTGAATATCGAAAGTAGGAATTGAAATTTTAACTTTTAAACGATTCCGGGGAAAACGAAAAGTTAGTCCCGGTTCCAATCGATACTCGATTCTCGATACCCAACCCTATTCATATCCGATTTATTACTACATACAGTATGAATGAGGCCTGAATCCGATCTGAGAAAATCGCAATTCATGCGTTTTTTTCCTGCTTACACGTTCACCGGTCATATCCGATCTGTGCCACATGAGAGGAAAAAATCGGATTTGGGTCACTTGAACCATGCAGTGGGGCGTGTGCTTGCGTTTGATTCAGCGAGAATGAGGGCGCGGCCTTGATTTCGCGGCTTTACTTCCTGCTCACGACTGCGCATGACTGGTCCCGAAACACGCAAGTGCGCAGACTCAAGGCCAATTTATACTTCTGCGTAGGGTGCGCACAGTAGGTACGGCGTAGCATACGCACAGACGCGTCCCATACCGCGTACCCTTCCGCGTTGCCTGACGCGCACCTCTTCAAAAATGTAACTACACGTCGCGACGACGCGGACCGCAAGATCGGTGATTGGTCGGCTTGGTAGCATCGTATTTCCACACGTACCAGCTCCTCCGTCTTCTCTCATTTCTGGCTTTCAGTTTTAGTAATTTCACTAAAATTAACTGTTTTTCCACCCCAATAAGCTCCAACTCCAACATGATCCACTCTCTTTCAGTCGCTATTGCTTGTAGTAACCTAGCCGCGAGGAATCTAAACACAGTGGAACATTGAAACCCTCCGACGCCTACTAGCGTTTCGGAGCAGTACTGCAGAGCAACCAATACCTGAACGCAGAAGTATAAATGCTCACGACGGCGTAGCCTACGCCGTACACTACGGCATACCCTCGACGCAGAAGTATAAATTGGTTCAAGATGTCAGCGTCATATGGAGACACTTGCGGCTTCAGTTCTCTCTGATGGAAAAGAGCGAAGGGGCGTCGTCCATCTTTTTTTACAGTCTATGGTGAAATCCAGGTGTCATTAGAATAACACGTCCCTACATATTCACGTCTCCGCTTCCCCCACGCCCTCAGGGCCAATGCGTGTATTCATTTAGCATGCGCAGTTCTATGAATATGCAAATGAGCCCCGCCTCCACTCACTCACTCAGCTCACCACTGGTTGACGATCACACGTTGATCTGATTGGTTACAAGGTGGTTTGTGACGTCAGAAACACCAGCGATTTCAAAGCGTGTTTTTGAGACCGTCTTTGGTTCACTGCAGTTTTAAGGAGGAAATACTGTCCACTTATCAACTCACACATGGTGTGTGTTAAAGCACATAAAAAACACCACATAGACACATAAACAACATTAAAAGCTGGATTTAGGATGTACTTAAGAACTGTTCACTGAAAGGTTATTCAGGGAAATAAAAATGATCCATTACTGTAGAAAAAAACAAGCTTTTGGAACCCAAACCCGGTAGAAAGAGTCAAAGAACAGTTTGATTCTTGTTTTTACTGTTTTAAATTGCTAACTGTTTGGAACGGCTGCAACTGGGTCCAGGTTTATATAGACAGATGTTTTATTTCATTGTCCTCGAAGTTCAGATGTGAAGCTCATCCGTGTCCTCTACACGAGCAACACGAGGGCAGGGAGTTCAACACTACACTGGACCCTCTTGAGCCTCGGTAGAAATTGAGTTATCAAAAGAGCCAAGGCTGAGGGGAGAGACATAATTGTTTTCTGGTCTGGAAAACAACTTCTCAAAAGCTTTCATATGTTTCCTGTCCTGTGCTTGCGCACAAAACACAAGGAGAAATGCACCAGGCCTGAAGAGAAATGCAAAATCAGGGGTCCAGAGATGCAAATATATGAACTTTTATATGCAGTAAATAGAGTTACAGAGCCAGAATGTTTCATTTGCCATTGTTTAGTAATTCAATCACATTTGTGCACTAAATACCATATTATAGGACGAGGAGTTACTGCGTTTAAACAGTTGCAATGAGCGAGAAGTGAACTCCAAGTAACTTTGTGTTTCTAACATCTGTTTTACAAAAATACTTCGCACCTGCTTAGATCACGGTGGTCCGAAGGAAAAACCTTCTTTGTAATTGTTGGATGAACACACAAGCACTTGCATAGTGAACCAGGAGTAGAGAAAAAGACAGCTGTATTATTTATTATTGAATTGAAATCCTCCCCTATAGATCCAATCACAGGTGTTGACTGGAGACGCATTGAATTTGACACACATGATCAGGTAAAGCACTGATCGAGTCACTCCAGACAGATGTTGATGGCAGATGTAAACAAGCCCACATGTGTTGAGTTTAAAGCTGCATAAACATCTGCACACACCATCATAAAACCCCTCTGTTTGTAAATATACGCTGTTAAAGTTATCTTCAGGGGCGTTTAGACGACACCACTTTCAGCTAAAAACGTCATTTACACAACAACATTTTGGGAGCCCGAAAACGCAAACTTTTGAAAGCAGGTTTCAAAGTGCAAGTTTTAGAAATGTGTGAAAATTATGTTTCTTTACAAAGAGACATCGCCATCTACTGGCCTGGCGACAGAATACAGAGATGTTTGTCGTGGATCCTCTGTGAACCGGGATAGTTTTGACAACATTGAAATAATTGAATAAATTGAAATAAAATATCTGATCATAATCTTGATGCCAACAGTTCTCATTTTCATTTTGTTTCATTTCATTTAGGCTACTAAAATAACTAAAACTGAAAAAAAAAATAGTAAAAATTACAAACAAAATAAAAATTAGTACAAAATGAAAATGGAGAAAATAAAATAAAAACGATCCAATCTCAATGATACTAAAATATCACCGCCTATACCTTTAGCAAACTTCAGGATATGACATTTACAAATAAGATAGCTAGTTGTTGAAAGAACAATGTTTGAGAGGTTCGACAAGTACTAAGATGTAAGATTTAAGAAGGAGGGAATCCTGTGTCGCGCTTGTATTTGATGTAATAGTGGGCGTGCTGTGTACGTTCTTTACAGTGGGGTGGGCGTGGTTGGTAGATTGTTGTGGGCGTGGCTGTAGTCCTGACGCAGACACGTTTACCAGGTAACCACGCCCCTTAACGCAGCCTTTCTATTCATAACAAGCGTGCGATCGAGTTACAGATTGTTTCGGCTGTTTTAGAGGCAGGTGTCTCAGGATGACTTTGACAGTATCTCTCAGGTATTATTTTTTGTTAAATACCACGTTTTATGTGTGTAACTAAAATTACATATGCAGCTTCAATCACGAGCCACATCTAATCAATTTAGCCGTGTTTTAATACACTTTGAATGTACCTTTTCCTCATTAATTTAACTTTTTAGCTACTATTACAAAATAAAAATAATTTTAAACCATTTTAACAAAGCTGCACAACCCCCCTCCTTTTTAGCTGAGAGACTGGCTTAATTTATTCAAATTTATTAAAACTCATCAGAAGCGGTATCATTCCGCTTTAATTTCCCGCTGGAATATTTTCTATTAGCCTACTGTACTTATTATTACCACACCAAAAGACACCAGTGCATGACAGTTGCTAAAAAAAAAATAGAAAATCAGAAAGCATCGCATAAAAGTTCTCAGGGAAAATATCGCATACCTTCACTTCCATACTGTTTGCCATTGTTCGCACCCATCCTGAAGAACACATAGTCTCTCCACACAGTGAAGCATTAATGTGACACGGGGAAAGTCCTCGAGCTGACACGATACACATCCATGAGTAAAAGTCTTCTTTAAACCAGAGAGCAGAGCCGAATCCAGATGTTCTTCTGTCTGAGGAAAATGCCCATTATCGAGGAGAAGCTGATGTGGAGCGGGCGGACCCGACGTGTGTGTGTGCGTGTGTGTGTGTGTGTGTGTGTGTGTGAAGAGAAGCTGAACCACAATAACTCACTTACACTGAGACTGTGATGGAGGGCTGGACCAGCCTTAAAGAGACCCTCGGTTTAAAACCACAGATCATCTAAAGTAGCCTATAGTGTTTGGGGACATCATAGCTCATTAATATAATATAATAGGCTAAATAATATAATATATTCCTATATAAAAATGGTTAAAATAATAAAATTAGTGCTGCACAGTTAGGCTATTAATCGCATCTAAAATAAAGGTTTGTGTTTACTGTACTGTGTATAATTATTTTATATAATAATACACACATACAGTATGCATGTATATAGTCTATATATATTTAAGAAATATTTGCATGTTGTATATACATTTATACATAATTTATATTATATACTGTATAGATTTTTTTATAAGAATTTTAAATATTTTTTTCTATATACAAGAGAATTATATACACATGTACTGTAACACATATAAACACAAACTTTGAGATTTATCATTGCCCTGCACTAAATAAAATATAATATAGTCTAATATAATGTAATATAATATAATAAAAGAGTATTGGTCTCTTAAGAAGCACTTTAAAATGTATGAATGCCATTGCATTATTATAACCACTTAGTGGTTTTCAAATTTGAGTGGATCGTGTTCATATTTCCTATAGTGGTAACGTGTGTGATCGTGTGGGAAACTGATTCATGTCCTCCAATAATCACAGACACACTGAAGTCAGTACTGAAACAGTGTATAGATGAGATAAACAAACACTGCGATGTACAGCAGATGCATCTGAACATGTGGACCATTAATTAAATAAATATTAACACCAGTGAAGGAAATGAACCAAGTCTGCATCCTTACTGTGTGCTTCTATTGTTAGTTAGAGACTTCCTGCGCAGAATGAAGGCATTCGGGACTATCAGCGGAAGCCTTTTACTCTCAACAACAGGAATCATACACACACAAGGGTATTTTTGTCTAGGAATTACTTCCATGAAACTCCCTTAAATCAGTAATTGCCCTTGACCTTTATGTTGTAGAAACAATACAAAGTTCCTTATTTTTTTAAGTGCCGATGGACTTTTATTGTCTAAGAATTAAACATCTCTCTCTCTTTAATTTCATATTATGACAAAGGTGAATAGACTCATTCTAAATTAACACAAGATCTTACTACTTTATTCCTGGACCACACAGTTTTAAAAAGGTCTTTCTAAATACCAATGGCTGTTGTTAATTATGTATTCATTTATTATCCATCTATCAAACACAGATCTGAGCAGAGTCTGTAAAACATGTTGAGTTGCACAAATGTTATTTTTCTTGGAAGTGAGTTTGAGAAAAAGTTTAGCGTCTGCTTTTGACTGGTGTGTGTTGGCTTGCATGACCAGAGTCTGTTGGCTGTGTGTGTGTGTGTGTGTGTGTGTGCGAGAGTTAAACGCCAAGCCGGAGAGTTTCTCTCTCTCTCTCTCACACACACACCCTCTCAAACGCCAAGGTCAAACGCCAAGCCAGAGAAAGCCTTTACAGCCAAACACTCTGCAGCCCAAGAACACTATCTACTTCCTGTCTCTGGGGCTCTATTGATGGAGGCTGGCACACACACACACACACACACACACACACACATATGCAGATGTGATACCAAAGCAGCAGGAAGAAAACCTTAAGCAGCTGCTCAGTATGTGGTTTTGAAAAGATGTGAAACCTGAGACCTGGAGAGAAGTTGCAGCGATTAAAGTTTTAAAATGTGAGGTTTAGTTATATGAAATATTTGTTCCTTTTGTAGGATGAGGCGCAAAACATTGCAGTCAACAAAAACACACTTTTGAGGAGGCGCTTCCACTATAGAAAACCAAACACTTCCACTAGAGGAAACTCTCACATTCATTTCCAATGCGCTCGTTTCTGACGCCGAGAGGCAACAAGTGTGACTATTTTATTCAGCACCATTCAACCTGTTCGAATCATGTTCCAAAACCTTAACCAAGTTTCGTAACAGTCAGATGAAGAAAAAAAAAAAGTAAAATTTTTCAGTCAAAAATGACTGAGGAGCACCATAGGGTTAAGGAAGTAATTTGGGCATTTAAGGTCATGTGATCAGGCGGCCAGCACATGGAAATAAGCACTCATATGGAATACCAGACTGATCTCATGAAGTAGCGTGTGTATGACACGCCAATTCGTATTTCCATTTTTGGCATGCTATCAAGACGCATAATCGCTTTTCATCGTGTTTATGAACACCGTTGACTTAAAGGTATAGCGGAGGATTTTCTTTTTCCGGGTGGGTAGTCTATACTATTGGTCCACCTAAGTGTCAATCATTCTGGTGATATGTTTACGTAAGGCCGTCGTAGGCTATGTGCTCATCCCTATGTAGTTTTCACTTTCATGTGTATTATGTCGGAGTTACGGTTTCAGCCATTCCTTTGAAAATGGCTGAGGGTCGAAAGAGAAAAAATGTTTACTAAGTGTATGATAAGAAGAGAAAGGCCGCAGAATATAGAAACAAGACCGGAGAGATTTTGGGTGAATATCACACGCTGGCGTGCGCTAAAAGCACAGGTTGGGCTTCTCACTGATGCCGCAGTCGCGAAGATTCTACCAGACAGGTAAAGTTTGTCATGCTATTTGGAGAAATCCATTTAAAATCACTAGTAAAAGTTAATGCAAGCTACAATGCTAGCCCTGGCACGAGTCATGCACCGCATAGACACGGTAAACATCTCAATTTGTCTAAAGTAGCCTTTTGTCCAAAATGGTAAATGGTATCACGCTGCAATATTCTAAAATCTTGTGTGTTTATTATTACACAAATGCAACAAGCTACTTCTCCATATGCAACTGTCACAGGTCGAGGGGAGGAACGCTCGGGTGACCAACCACCCCCCCTCTAACTGAGTCACCACCGTGAGGAGCCGACACCACAGGCACACAACAGAGGACCCGGAGACAGAGACAAGTTTCAAAGGAGTAACAATCTTTATTAAACCAAGGGTTTCTCACAGTTTAAGATACTCTCAGCGGTGCTGCAGACTTCCGGACTCATACAGTAAATATGGCAGGTAAGGATTCTTCACAGTACAGGGTACTCTCGTTGGTGCACGGTAGTGAACAGTGGATTAAAAGCTTACTTTTCCCCCAGCAGTACTGCAGACTTCCGGACGCATACAATAAGTATGGCAGGTAAGGATTCTTCACAGTACAGGGTACTCTCGTTGGTGCACGGTAATGAAGCAGTGGATTAAAAGCTTACTTTTCCCCCAGCGGTGCTGCAGACTTCCGGACTCATACAGTAAGTATGGCAGGTAAGGATTCTTCACAGTACAGGGTACTCTCGTTGGTGCACGGTAATGAAGCAGTGGATTAAAAGCTTACTTTTCCCCCAGCGGTGCTGCAGACTTCCGGACTCATACAGTAAGTATGTCAGGTAAGGATTCTTCACAGTACAGGGTACTCTCGTTGGTGCACGGTAATGAAGCAGTGGATTAAAAGCTTACTTTTCCCCCAGCGGTGCTGCAGACTTCCGGACTCATACAGTAAGTATGGCAGGTAAGGATTCTTCACAGTACAGGGTACTCTCGTTGGTGCACGGTAATGAAGCAGTGGATTAAAAGCTTACTTTTCCCCAGCGGTGCTGCAGACTTCCGGACTCATACAGTAAGTATGGCAGGTAAGGATTCTTCACAGTACAGGGTACTCTCGTTGGTGCACGGTAATGAAGCAGTGGATTAAAAGCTTACTTTTCCCCCAGCGGTGCTGCAGACTTCCGGACTCATACAATAAGTATGGCAGGTAAGGATTCTTCACAGTACAGGGTACTCTCGTTGGTGCACGGTAATGAAGCAGTGGATTAAAGCTTACTTTTCCCCCAGCGGTGCTGCAGACTTCCGGACTCATACAGTAAGTATGTCAGGTAAGGATTCTTCAACAGTACAGGGTACTCTCGTTGGTGCACGGTAATGAAGCAGTGGATTAAAAAGCTTACTTTTCCCCCAGCGGTGCTGCAGACTTCCGGACTCATACAGTAAGTATGGCAGGTAAGGATTCTTCACAGTACAGGGTACTCTCGTTGGTGCACGGTAATGAAGCAGTGGATTAAAAGCTTACTTTTCCCCAGCGGTGCTGCAGACTTCCGGACTCATACAATAAGTATGGCAGGTAAGGATTCTTCACAGTACAGGGTACTCTCTCTCTCTTCAGTTCACAGTAGGGCGACAGTGGGTTAAACGATTACTTTATCAGCATTGCTGTATACTTCTGGGCTCAAACAGTAAGTAGAACAGGTGAGGACAGTCACAGTACACAGTACTCTCTCTTCAGTTCACAATACGGAGACAGTGATTCATAATGTTACTTTACCAGCGATGCTGTGTGCTTCTGGGCTCAAACAGCAAGTAGAACAGGTGGGGATCTTCACAGTACAAAGTACTCTCTCCTCAGTTCACAGTAGGGCGACAGTGGGTTAGACGATTACTTTACCAGCGATGCTGTGTGCTTCTGGGCTCAAACAGTGAATAGAACAAGTGAGGACATGCACAGTACACAGTACTCTCTCTTCAGTTCACTGTATCACTCTGGGCTTCTGACGGGGGCAGATATAATAACCTTCCACAAACGTGTAAGCATGGATAAGGCTACTTCTCAGCAAAGACACATCACACTCGTGTTCACTTCAATTCCACAGCCAAAAATCAATGTGTATAATAAGGCAAAAGCACTGCAATTCACTCACACGGTAGGGCTGATCAGAGGCCTCGCCCTGTTTTGTTGTGCTCACTTTACATGGGGTTTCACTTTCAATTCCTCCTCCACACTCTCTGAAACACATAGCTTCTCCAACAGTCAGATCCACACTCACTGTATCCTCTTCAAGCGGTTTAAATGTTCATAAGATAAAATCAGTTGACTTATCTTTGCTCTCTTCTTTCCCAGCACAGATCCAGTCGATAGCTCAGACCAGCAGGCTTCCTACAAACAATCA